GCCACTGAAAACAGCAACTAGGGCAGATAGAATGTAAAAGGGTACAACTCCTGAAAGTGGCAATATCTACATAGTTTTTTTTTTAAGTTTTTTTTTTAGTTTTTGTTCATTTTTTTATTTTAATGTTTATTTATTTATTTATTGATTTATTTATTTATTTATTTATTGTTATAAGGCTTATGTGCTCCCTGGAAAGAGGCAGAGAAAGAAGGTGAGGAATCACTCTCCAGGAGTGTTGACCACTCTGAAATCCCTTCTGTAGTCTCTTCTTGGTGTTTTTGGGCAGGCACACTCATTAGCCCACTGTGTTCCTTCAAGATACTAGTTCTCGGACTCACTTCACAAACTTGGCCACTTGCTTTCCAGCTCCCTTAACCACCATGCCACTGTCTGGCCCCAAAGCTAAACACTTTTTTTACCCTATAGCCAAACTTTGCCAATGACGCAAGACACTGTGTTGGACCTCTTCCTTCTCCTTCACATTTAAATTTGCTTTGGTGTGGCTGTACAGAATATCTCTGGGCTGATAAATCCAAAATACATGTACCTTCAACTGTAAGTGACCTGAGATTCAATAGTCCATATGCCTGTGGAATTGCATGTAAATTGTATATAAATCCAAGTTATTGCTGTACCTCACATTAACAAAATTTTTCTATTCTCAGTATGCCACATCTCGGATTGGCAACTCTCCTCTACCATAGCTCAAATAAAAACATTGTAGTTATCTTTGAGAGAGAGAGAGAGAGATATGGACTTGATGCCGTAATCCACAAGACTCCAGTAGTTTTTGCCACAGGGTGGGTGCCATCATGCCCAACTTTGACTACTTTTCTTATATACCAACGATCTATACCATCCATCAATGTATTTATCTCTAACTTCATAATATATCCAGAATCAAATCAGTCCTAAGAGTACTGTCTTCTAAATCCTCCAAATCTCCATCAATCTGCTTAGGAGTATTACAATGTTCTCCTAACCAATTTCCTCACTCTATACTTGCATCACATAGTCCTGTCTTAACTAACAGACAGGGTGGACATCTTAAAATAAAATTCAGGTCAAGTTCTGATTGCACTTGCAAGAAAAGGAAAACAGCAAGCTGGAGGTACTGAACTAATTTCTCCCTTAAAAAAAATATTGCTTCAGGGTGCATGTGTTCACCTGAGTGGGGGAGGAGTGAGAAAACATATCACAATCCTATCTCCCCTGCTCTCCTCTTGGGATTTTGTATACACATGCACACTTGCCTGGCATGTTTCTCAAGCTACCAGGTTTGGGACTGGAAATATGCAGTGAGCCATATGGGATCCAGCTGCCTTCACCATACCACCAGTTGGCCCAATTTCTCTTTTCATAGCAAGCCTTCCAAGAGGTGCATTAGAGTCAAATAACATGTACAAAGTATAGCTGTGGGTAAAAACAAAATATTGGAAAAAAATTCCTGATTAAAAATACAACCCAACAGTTATGCAGACACACACACACACACACACACACACACACATATACATATACACAAATACAGAAGAAAAGCTACAAGGCCTATCACCAAAACTTATTTTGAAACATTTGAAGTATGTTCCAAATATTATCCTGTACATGTCTGGGGGTTTTCATTGATTAGAATTAAAATACTTATATGAATTAAAAATTTACCCAGACAGGGACCAGCAGTTGGCATAATGGCTATATCACTGGACTCCCATGTTGTCAACCATATGAGTCCCAGACGTGTAGCTTAAACTCACACCTGGCACGTGTGCGTGCATGCCCAAGATCCAAAGAGGAGAATGGAGGAGAAGGGATTGTGGCGTGGCCATCCCCCCTGGGGGGGTGATTTCTCACTTTCTGTCTCTCTTTCTCTCTCTGTCTTTCTGGCAAACACACACACCCTATAGCAAAAACCTCTCCAAAAAATATTACCAAGATATTCCTGATTGCACTCACACATGTGATAGCAGTAGTTTTTATAAATTTATCTCTTTGTTCCTATACTGCAGTTTATTTTCAATTCTAAGGGCCCAACTCACATAACAAAGAACTGTTGACTGAAGCAAAGTACATTGCAGAAATATTCCTAGTATGAACATGTCTTTAAAAATATACATTATATTTTCCTAAAAATGTAAATCATACCTTTGGAAACAATGTCTAGGGAGAAGTACATCTGCTCATCAGCGTAGACAGTATCTGCATTTACAGAGGTAACACAAGCAGTTATAACTTTGGTTTCAAAGTATGATGGTTCAGAGTCATTAATATCAGAGACAACATCTACCTGTCAGATAAGGAAACAATTACTTACAGGATAAAATTTTAAAATGGACATTTACATGCTTAACCATTGGAGTTCAAGAATTCTTTTAAATGACCATGCTGAACTACAGAAAATACATTTCAATGAGAAATAGTCATGTGAAGATGGTAAGAAAATAATTCCAATGCTTTATAAGTAGTTAAAATGCACCAGAAAACTTGAATTGTTGACCCAAGTTTAATATATTCATATCGTTATATTCTCAGATAAAGACTATGGTCATGCTTATGGTCTAGAAATTCACAATTTTATGACAGTATATTGGAAAAACATTTAGTTTTAAGCAACTTGTGATAAAGGGTATGAAATAAGTTCAGAAACAGCTCGTGGGAATTTTCAAGAATAAGAAAATTTTGGACTAGGTGAAAGTAGAGGCATTACATGGAAAAACTAAGATTTGGGTTGGATTGATAAAGGAGAGAAAGATTTTGTGAGGAAAATGGGGTGGCATGGGAGCAAGAGAAGGGGAACAGAGAAGAAAACCAACCAGAAGCTGGGGTAGCCCAGGGGAAGAAGCAAGGAAAAAGTTGGAAAAATAACATCAGATGAAGAGAGCGTAAAAAATCCAAATAAAAAATATGACTGTGAAGATAATATTTATGCAGAAAAGGTGTAACTATATTAAATGATGATCAAAGACATTGCAGAAAGAAGGAAAAGGGATTGCAGGCAGTTTGCTTATTGATTACTTCCTATTGTGTGCAGAACTGCTCTTCACAGACACAATTTTCTCATTCTCTACACTTGTACCAGCCCCTGAAAAGCTGGGCACAAATCCTGACACCAAAAAGAGACCATTATCCTCCCAATGAACTCTTCCAGGTGTCTTCTGCTTTTACCCAATCCTATCCTGTCTTTCATTTCCCGTAGTCCTTCCTCTGTAATCTTTAACCAATGTGAACTCCTTCCAAACCATTTATTATGCTTACCAGTTTTTTCTCTTTGTTGTTGTTAAGAGTCATTCCAATTAAAGGTGGGCAAATGAGCTGAACAGGCAACTCTCTAAGGAAGGTGTATGAACAGTCAAAAAAAATATGAACAAATGTTCAACATCCTTTATCATACAGGAGATGGAAATCAAAACCACAATGAGATACCACCTAACCCCAGTCAGAATGGCTAAGATTAAAAAAAAAAAAAGAAAGAAAGAATAATAAGTACTGGCGGGGCAGTAGAGAAAAGGGAATTCTCCTACACTGTTGGTGGGAATGTAAATTAGTACAGCCACTGTGGAGAACAGTATGGAGATTCCTCAAAGACCTATAAATTGAACTACCATATGTTCCAACAATTCCACTCCTGGGTATCTACCCAAAGGTTAGGAATACACTCAGTCAGAAAAACACTTGCACAGCTTGGTTTATTGTAGCATTATTCACAATAGCTAAGACATGGAACCAACCCAAATGTCTACAAACAGAGGAATGGATTGAAAAAGTCTAGAACAATTACACTACAGAATACTGAGCCATAAAAATCAATGAGATCCAGGCAGTTGATAGAAAGTGGACTAATGTGAAAGATTTACTGCTAAGAGAAATAAGTCAGACTATGAAAAGAGAGGCACTGTATGTCCCCACAGAATATATACCGAAAGTCTGCACTCCATGGCAGAAATTGAAAAATTGGAAGGTATAAAGACATAGACAGCCACTGTGGTTACTAGAGACAGTATGGCAGGAGGGTGGGAAATGGGGAAGAATGAAAAGGAGGGGAATCAAGGGGAACAAGAAAGCAATATATTTAAGGAACACAAAAACAGAAAATTATCTGTTGATAATAATAGGTAGGAAAAATCTTTTAACCAATATACAGTGTATTCAGGATGAAAAAATTCATTTTAAAAGCTGTAATGATACACAGTGATGGAATGTAAAAAAATTATAAATACCAAAAAATATGAAAAAATAGTAATTTGACTCTTCACATGCAGTGATTTATTTATCACTTCTCTCAGTGCCTGCTGCTGCTAGGATCTGGCTGCATGCCCCATTTTTTACTTTTATTTCATGCTAACTTTATAAGACTAATAAGTTCTTTTCTATTATTTATAACCTTTTCCTTGAAGTTTTACTTTGTTCTTTTTTTTTTTTTTTTTTTT